ACTACAGTAGAAGATTCTTAAAATATATGCATATATAAAATAAATCTAAATGTAATCACCAAATAACATTTTCACTTGTCAAGTGAAACTTCTAGTGTCAAGAATGGTTTACATCTAATTGAGTTGTTGGCCAAAGGAGACTATGAAAACCCCAAAATATATTCCTAAGGTTATTGGTCTCTTCATAAACTGATGCTTTAGGTCTTATTGCTAAAGACAGCACTTATGTACCCCATTGAACACAGAGAAGTCAAGCTGATGCCTACCTGGAGCCTTCGCTCCTATTGACTAGTGTTCATGGTACCTGGAGCACTCTGCAGGCTGCCAGAGGAGAAGGTAACAGGCAAAGCTTTAGGGACAGGCCCTGCTTCCACCACTAGGTGTCCCACAGATAGATCAAGCTACACAACTGTCACACATATGTAGAGGGCCTAGGTCATTCCCATGCGGGCTCTCTAGCTGTTGGTGCAGAGTCTGTGAGGTCCTATAAGCCAAGGTTAGTTTTTTCTGTGGGTTCCCTTGTGATGAACTTGAGAATCTGGCTCATACAATCTTTCCTTCCTCTTTTCAACGTGATTCCCTGAGCTTGGCTTAGTGATTGGCTGTGGATCTCTACATTTGTTTCCTTCAGTCACTGGATGAAGGCTTTCTGATGACAATTGGGGTAGTTATCAATCTGACTTCAGGAGATGGCCAGTGGTCACAGTGTTTCTTAACATCAATAGACTAGTAACTAAGATAGCATGTCTCTAACTTATTTGCTTCTACTAGGTCTCACCGCTTCTTACAGATTTCATTACAATCTAGTCATTCTAATAACATCATGGGCTATGCAGGAAGCCTGTAATGCATGGGCTTGTGAGGGATACTTATCTAACCATAGCAACAGTGTAGTTAACTACCATTAGAAAAATATAGGAAATGTTTCCTGACCTCATATGGAATAGAAACCACCACAGATGGTAGAAGGCTAAGAGGATTCTCAGATATAGCTGTTGTTTTTTATAATCCTTGTGAGAGTTGAAAAACACTGCCTCATTGGGGAAATGACTAAATTAACATGTTTGAAATTAATCCTTCAGTACTAATAGGGAACTATTGCTATCTAAGACATGTATCTACAAGAAAAGCACATCATGCTCCAGTCTGTTGTAAGCTATTATGCACGGCTCCCCAGAGAGCTGACAAAAATGAAGAATAATCGGAAAATGACAAGGAATGTACTTCATTGCATCAGCTCCGGGAGGTAGGCAGCCTGGGCAAGAAATGGGCTAATTAAAGAAAGCATTTTCCAGCGTCTTTTATACAAATCTTTTGTGATTAAAAATCCAATCAGTAGTTGACTAGTGAGTCCTTTGCTGTGGAACTGGTATCAACATTCCTAGAATTATTTGGGGTTGGTGGTGGAAAGCATTAATTGATTCGTTTTATTATGGATTGAGACGGGTTGTAAATGCTTTGGTCTTCTACTGATGCCTGGTGGGATCTCTGATTTTTTTTCACTTGTCCCTTAAGTAATATCAGGACTCTAGAGGATCATTCATATTTGTCCTCTGGGCATCACTGTATATAGATAACTGAGGCAAAAGAGCATATGTTGCCTTGAATTTGACTGTTAGGCAATACTTTACTTTACTTTACTCAGGCAGCTCTGTTTTCAGGAGGTTCTAATTCTTCCCATGGTTGCTGATTGCTCAGATACTTGCACCAAAATGTAATCGTCACACCATGAATGGTGTGTGGGTTACTAACAAGTACAAAATGGAACAAAGTCATTAAGGAGACTCCAGGCCTGTTAGGACTTTTTTCTCTTAATTGGAAAGCACACACACACACACACACACACACACACACACACACACACACACATTGAGAGAGAGAGAGAGAGACAGAGACAGGGACAGAGAGACAAAGAGAGACAGAAAGAAAAAGAGAGAGAGATTTAAGTGATCATGAAGAAAATCCAGCTGTAAGACACAGGAAGCTTCAGATCTTGGACTTCAGAACTGTAGGGAAGAAAAACTAATTTCTGCTATTTAACCCACAATACTTTGTTATGGTAACCCTAGAAAATTAATAAACTCAGTATTTATTTTTAATAAAAGTAAAAGGTGTCTTCAAGGCTAAAGTAAAAATTCGCTTTATCACAAAGCCTCTGTCAGACGTTGGCTGTTCAAAAGGCATTTCTAATATCATGTGTAAACGTAACAAGAAAAATGAACTCATTCCCTCTAGTACAAGGATGTCTGCTCTTTAAGAGACAGTTAAAGTAGACCCTGCTTTAAGGGACAGCTAAAGTAGACCCTGGAGAGAAGGTATCAATAACAGCAGGAACCTCCGCTCTGGCCTCCAGAGAACAAAACTCCCTTACCACCTCAGGCCTTGGAGGGCAAAAGCAAGGGCAAGCACAGCCCCACAGGCACTCCAGAACCCAGTGGGCACTGAAGCCCTGGGACCAGTGGTGACCACATATGAGGCCCCTCTGAAAGCACTTGGAAGTAACTGGGGGAACATGAAGGGTAGGGTATGTAAATGGAACTTTCTGGCTCATTAATTTAGTAAAGCTGAATGTCATTGGCCCTACAAGAATCTATTTATTTTCATACTAAAGTAATCTTAACCTTATCTCTGGACTGGAATAAATAGGCAATAGACTAGGGGACAAAGAGGTCTTTGCACTAACATTCAAATAAAGAAAGGAGAAACTACAGTTGTATCAGAGAGGATTACCCTTTGCAGTCAATGGTTCATTCTGTTGCCCAAACTGAATTTTAATTGATTTGGATCCTTTGGTCTTCAATCCATCTAGATTCCATTTTACATAACATTTTATCCTTTTTCCCTTAAGGCTTATTTTACAAGTTGCTAGAGATAGCCCCCTGCAGTCTGAATATCCCATCAAATGCAGCTGGTTCACCAATACAAAATAGCATTGAGCATATGTAATTGATTTAGCAAAAATATGCTTTCCATAAGAAAGCAGCCAACAACATGATTTAATAAAGCAAAAAGGCTAATTCAATACTTTTGAATAATAACCTTGATATATCTGAAGAATGTTCTTTGATTTATAATTTCTTATTAAGACCCTTTAGCATTCCCTGCCCTGCCAAGGATTTCAAATCGTGTTTGAAGGGTAACTTAGTACATTCTAATTCACTTGTAAATCTCACTGGTGCCTTACCTTGTGGCTGCACAGGGACTCATTTCTTCTTCTTCCCATAGAAGCATATATATAAAAGATGGCAACTATCTAGTTGCAAAACTCAACTAAACTGTTTGATCAGTTACAACTCAGACAGCGAAATCGTTAAAGAGACACAAGTCATCAGTAGAAACAGAATAGGAACCCCACATAACATGGCTCCTCAATTAAGGTTAAGGAGCTGACCACAAGGCACATCAATTTCCTACCGTCGTCCCACACTTAGTTTGCTCCGCTCCAGACCCAGAGACATTCCTGTTGTTTGTCACTTCCCAGGAACCCTTGTCCGGTGCTGGTGAACCTTCTTCCTTTACTCAGCATACTACTCCATAAGTCTCAGTAGCTGAGGTGACCCTCCCCAGAGACCTTCCCTGGTACTTTGTCTGAAATGGTAATCCTGCCCTGTATTTCACTTTCCATTATTGCCAATTCCACCTGAATTCAGCAATGAAGGTTTACAGTTTTTATTGAAATACTTTGAGAATAAATGTGTTTCCAGATAATGTGCAATTTATAGATTATTTATAAATGAACAATATATATATATATATAATTCATAATGCACAATTTACATATATAATTTATAATGCACAATCATAGAAAGATGGTGTATTCATTACTTTTCCTGTTGTTATAGAAAAGTATTATAAAAGCTACTTAGGAAGGTGTTATTTACCTTTTGAGTGTATAAATATTTGGGGGTACGGTCCATCATGGAAGCAAAGCCACGGTGGCAGAGCTTGAGGCAGCTGGCCACATTACATCTGTAGTCATGAATCAAACAATGAATTCTTGTGTTCAGCTCCCTTTTTCCTGTTTATTCAGTATAGGAGCCCAGCTCAGGAAATGGTGCCACTCACATTTAGGGTGAGTCTCCCCACCTCATTAATTAATCTGAATAAATCTCTTGAAGACATGCTCAGAAAATTATCTTCTATATGATTCCAGATTCTGTCAAATGGATAGTCAATATAAACTGTCACCAATATGCTTACTTTGGGCCACTGATTCATGATAAAATTGTCATTAATTTCACCTAAAAACACTTAAATTATTATCAGTTCAAACTGGACTTTGTCATCAAAAGAGTTATACAAAGATATATGTTTTTCAGAACTCCTTAGATTTTAGGATTCATGACATGAGATTTAGAGACTACAGAGAGAGAGAGAGAGAGAGAGAGAGAGAGAGAGAGAGAGAGAGAGAGAGAGAGAGGAAGGGAGGGAGTTCTAGTACTTTCTTATTTGAATGCTGTGTGCCAACTCACAAATTTTAAGCATTGGGGAAGAGGCATGGCATGCAATTAATAGTTTATGACTTTTAATATAAACTCACTGTCCTCTTAATGATTCTTTTGGCAGGAATCCAGATTTGCAAAAATCTTTCAAAAGAACATAAAGTGTCCTGGTGTAAGTGGCACTGAACTGAGTTATCATAAGCAAAATTACAAAGTAGATAAATTTGTGAACAGTGAGGTCAAACTGAACTAGAATGTGTTGGTCCTACACATTCAGTGGATGCCCGAGAGCACCATTTTTCTCTTTTGTAAATAACACTATGAGTAAGTGAGAGCAGCCAAGAGATAGGTAGCAATGGGAGGGAATGGCAGGACTCTCTGTCAGATACTAAGTGAGAGAATGCTACACCTGGAAATTTATTTTTTCATTCATTTTATATACCAACCACAGATCCCCCTCTCATCCCTCCTCCTGATCCGCCTCCCTCCTTCCCCCCATCCTCTCCTCCAACAGGATAAGTTCTCCCATGTGGGGACAGCTAAGCCTGGTACATTCAATTGAGGTAGGACCAAGACCCTCCCTGGTTTATTAGGGGTGAGCGGGGTGTCGGACCATAGGTAATGGGATCCAGAAAGCCAAGTCATGCATGAGAGATAGATCCTGATCACACTGCCAGGAGCCCCTCAAACAGACCCAGCTACAGAACTGTCTTCCATATGCAGAGGGTCTAGTCCAGTCCCATGCAGGTTCCACAGCTGTTGGTCTAAAGTTCTTGAGTTCCTTTGAGCTTGGTTCAGTTGTCTTTTGTCTCTGTAGATTTCCCCATCATGATCTTGACACACCTACCCCTTACCCCACTCCTAAGTCTGGTGCTTGGTTGTGGATCTCTGCATCTACTTCCATCAGATACTGGATGAAGGCTCTATGATGAAAAATAGCATATTCACCAATCTGACTACCAGGGTAGGCCAGTTCAGCACCCTCTCCACTGTTGTTAGTAGTCTAAACTGGAGTCATCTGCTGTGGATATTGTTCTGTATAAATAAAACACTGATTGGCCAGTGGCCAGGCAGGAAGTATAGGCGGGACAAAGAGAGAGGAGAATTCTGGGAAGTGGAAGGCTGAGTCAGGAAGTCACTGCCAGCCACCGCCATGACAAGCAGCATGTGAAGATGCCGCTAAGCCACAAGCCATGTGGCAAGGTATAGATTTATGGAAATGGATTAATTTAAGCTATAAGAACAGTTAGCAAGAAGCCTGCCACGGCCATACAGTTTGTAAGCAATATAAGTCTCTGTTTACTTGATTGTGTCTGAGTGGCTGTGGGACTGGCAGATGACAGAGATTTGTCCTGACTGTGGGCAAGGAAGGAAAACTCTAGTTACAGTCATCCTTGTTGATTCCTGGAATTTCCCTAGCACCAAGTTTCTCCCTTACCCTATAATATCTCCCTCTATCAAGATACCTCATTCATTGCTCTTCCACTCCATCCCTCCCCCAGTTCAACCATCCTGTTCCCTCATGTTCTCATTCTCCCATTCCCTACCCTCTATTGCCTCCCTCTTCCCTAGTTTACTCATTGGGATCTCCTCCATTTCTCCATGCCACATGATCCGTACATCCTTCTAATTGACCATATACACCTGGAAATTTTAATTTCTACCTTACCTTTTGTCTACAATCAACAAACCATGCCCCCCCCCAAGAAAAATAAAAGGACCTATGAAATTGTCATTAAAAAAAAAAGAGATAGCGGTCATATTACTTTAGGAAGAAATATTAAGAATTTTGTGTTTTTAAAGACTTGCAAAAACAAAGATCATATATGGCAGTGATTGTGACAGAACATATAGTTAGAGGGGCATATGGGAAAGTCACTGGAGCAGAATAGAGAACTCAGGAAAATTACCAGCTTGTCTTGACAAAGGTACAAATTAATTTAGCAAACATATATCATTTTTAATAGATGTCACTGGGACAACTTGACATTCATTGACACTGTCATAAACTTCAACTTTAACTTTATAGACTTTAAAATAATTAACTCCTAATAGGTCATGGAATTAAACACAAAGTTATAAAATATTTAGAAACAAATACAGGGTCCACTGAGATGGCCCAGCAGGAAAATGTGCCTGCTATAAGCCTGACAACCTGAGTCTGATCTGTAGGACCCACATGGTAGGACAGAACTTCTGCAAGATGTCCTCTGATCTACACACACACACACACACACACACAG